TGCAGGCACAAGGATTGCACTTATCCCATAGTTGGGACATGAGATCTTGCCCCAATGCCTCCAGGCCACCAATGCCCTATCCTTAACAGTGGCCTCAATGGAATCTGTGGGACACTCCTAGGTCATGGAGGTCACACTTCTCAGCTCACCCAAAGGGCTGGTCCACACTGGGGCGGGGGATCGATCTAGGAAACGCAACTTCAGCTACAAGAATAGTGTAGCTGATGTCGACGTTTCCTAGATCGAACTAAGTTTACTTACTGCAGGTCCACGCGGCGCAGGCAAGCTCCCCCGTCGACAGCGCTTCCTCCTCTCGGCGAGCAGGAGTTCTGCAGTCGACGGGGGAGTGCTTCTGGGATTGATTTATCGCGTCCAGATGAGACACGATAAATCGATCCCAGAAGATCGATCTTTACCCGCCGAATCGGGCGGGTAGTGTGGACCTACCCTAAGGCAAGGTTGCTGCACAGATTGGTGGCAAGAACTGTGGACCCACCACAGGTTCAGTGAAAATTAGTGTCTGATCTAGATTTGAATTCCAGGGAGGAGCAGTGAAAGCTACTGCTATTTCTCCAAAAGAATGAGAAAGGTTTTAAAGTCTCCAGAAGTGTGGCCATCCTCTCTGTGTCCTGTTACGCTTTACCCAGAACATCCCCATATAAATATTTGCAAAAGATACTCAAGATACTGTATGACTTTCCATTGTAAAGATAAGTATGTGATATGTCTTTCTGCTTAAAGACAATACAATTTTAATTGTATCATTATTCTGATAGCAAAATTTCCTATTACCCCATATGGTACCCGTGAGGGCCTTGTTTTTATTTTTTCCTCTTCTTCTTAAATACTTCCTGTCTTATCATTAAGATAATTTAGAATTTATGAAAAAGTGTTGAATTATCCACAATGAAAACTGAAATAATCCCTATATTATCCACAGATCAGATACAGCATAGGGGATGGTAGTGCAAATTTGCTGACAAAGCATACCTTTAATTAAATATTACCATTGGGGTGAGCCACATTGATGCTATCATCAAGAAGGCTAGCGGCATTTTGGGTTGTATAAGTAGGGGCATTGCCAGCAGATTGAGGGATGTGATCATTCCCCTCTATTCGACATTGGTGAGGCCTCATCTGGAGTACTGTGTCCAGTTTTGGGCCCCACACTACAAGGAGGATGTGGAAAAATTGGAAAGAGTCCAGAGGAGGGCAACAAAAATGACTAGGGGCCTGGAGCACATGACTTATGAGGAGAGGCTGAGGGAACTGGGATTGTTTAGTCTGCAGAAGAGAAGAATGAGGGGGGATTTGATAGATGCTTTCAACTACCTGAAAAGGGGTTCCAAAGAGGATAGATCTAGATTGTTCTCAGTGGTACCAGATGACAGAACAAGGAGTAATGGTCTCAAGTTGCAGTGGGGGAGGTTTAGATTGGATATTAGGAAAAACTTTTTCACTAGGAGCATGGTGAAGCACTGGAATGGGTTACCTAGGGAGGTGGTGGAATCTCCTTCCTTAGAGGTTTTAAATGTCAGGCTTGACAAAGCCCTGGCTGGGATGATTTAGTTGGGAATTGGTCCTGCTTTGAGCAGGGGGCTGGACAAGATGACCTCCTGAGGTCCCTTCCAACTCTGGTATTCTATGATTCTATGATCATCATTAGAGAGATACAGAACAGCTTTGCATGCTGAGAGCATTCAAAGCAAAGCTCACTGCCAAGTACAATGATGAAGAAAATTCTTGGAGCCTACATCTGACACTGGCTATAGATGTCCAATCGAGACATCTTCCAACTGCATATAGGAAAATGCTTGACACCACTAGAGTCTCTCAACTGCTCAAATAGTCTAACTAAAGAAAATACATATACATATCCAAAAACACAACCTAAGAAAAATACCCATATTAAGCTTAAAGGAACCCATATATTTAAATAACTCATAATTTTCCCCATCTGTTTTCAGGCTAAATACAAACTTGAGTAATTAGATTCTGCCTACCAAATTATCCTGTAGTTTTCACTGAATAATTTATTATGCAAGAGTGAACTGATGTGCCAATACTGAGGGTGAAAGATCAAAGTGTGGGAGCAAAGTCAAAAGTGTACTATCATCCGAGTCTCAGTTAGTCTTGTTTAGTGAATGGATGGAAGTTTAGTGGTTATAACAATACTAAAGGTAGATTGCTTATAAGCAGCGAGTGTTTCTTCCTGAATTACCAGTGTTCCAGCCCTGAAGAGCCCTGACATAATTCCAACAATAGTGATAAAACATGCTGCTAATATGTCACCAAACTTTCAACACAATTATCACAATAGGCTAGCAAAGAACGAACTCTTAATATACTCAGTGTAAGGCCTGGTTAATACAATATACATGTTCAATAAATATATGACTAACAAATAAGACAAACTTCGTACCCATTTCTGAAGGCAAAATTATTATTGTAATGTATGGTAGAGGAGACATGACGGATATAAAAACAGCCTCCTCTTAAATATTTTGATGTACTCTATATGTCCACCCATCCACTCTATTTTAAGAATCTATACCCCCCCCCCCTTTTTTTTTTTTTTTTTACACTTTTGCTACTTATATTTTATTTTATCTCAAGAACCATACTGCATATAAATGGCAAAACCAATCTTTTCTATGTTTGCTATCTGGCTTTATTTCAAGTGCCATATTTTGTACAAACAACAATATTAATCTTGTTTATATATCCTTTTTATTGCATAAAGTTTAATAAAACAAAATTTTAACATTGTCTCTGGATTGCTCTGTATGTTTTGATTTGCAAGCAGATGTGGCTAAAAATGAAATATCCTAATGCCTGCTATATAAAAAGGTGCTATAAATGCGGAACAAGAAGATAATGAGGAAACAGGATTCAAATATATTTTAGGGTTTATTTTGCAGCACTTCTGAATTAACAGCATACAATTCCTTTTATAAACGGTGGATAAGTATGCCAGTTATGTCACAACTAAGAATATTAAATTAGCACACTAAAGTGACAAAAAGCTCACTGAATGATCCTGAAGTAAAAGATAAAAGTAAAATATATTTGTTTGTTTATTTTTGGCAATAATGGGGAAACTTTATGGGAGGAGAAATACTGAAATTCAGGTGAGAAACATTTGAATTTGAAATCAATTAGTGAAGTCAGTAAATTATAAAGGTTCATAAATGAGAGACTGAGACATACAGAACTTTATCTAATAGATCAGCATTTCTCAAATGCAGCCCTTGTGGCCGCAGGTGGCCACCAGGGGCTTTTCTTGCGGCCATAGGCTCCTGGGCAGTGATTGGGGGTGGGGGGGGTAAGGGTGCAAAGCAGCAACTCTTCCCCTGGGGCTGCCAACAGCTGGTGTGAGTTCCCCACCTTCCTGGAGCCAGTGGAGTGGTGGGCTCCGGGCACACAGCAGCAGGCTCCAGGTTTGGGTGCCAGCCCCAGGCTCACTATCCCCCCACATTGCCCCTGGCCCCTGCTGCCTTCCCTAGTCCCCCATCCATCCCCCCATTGCCCTGGGCCCAAATGCTGTGCTACCCACCTCCCCATCCAGGGCTTAATTTGTCCCTGGCTTGCTGGGGCTCAGTAAGTCTCTGCTGTAAAAAGTGATATTTGTATGTTTGTTAATATGTCTTTTCAGTGTCTCCTAGCTAGCAAGTCTTAATTATAAAAAAAAAGCGCAAAACAAACAACAAAAAAGACATGCAAACATGCAGAGCACCTTATTTGTGTTTCTATTCCATTTTGGTCCAGTAAAAAATAAGAAACTACTGTACATTATTTCTATCATTGAGTCTGCAGACAAAACCCTACATAAATAAATAACAATGATTTGGACATATATATGTGTTTTTGCTAAAGTTAATTAAGTATTTTAGGAAAAATTGTCAGAGTGGCCACCAGCAAGAACTGGTGACCACACTCCAAGACCACCAAACATTTTTTTGTGAGAACTCTTGATTGAAGGGTTTAACATTGTAAAGCATTTGGAACATGAAAAGCACCATATAAGTGCTAAGTATTCTTAGTAAAGTAGGAAGTCAGCCTATTCCTCATATTTTATCAGAAGTAGTCACAGAATTAATTACTAGTTTTTTGTTTGTATTTATCATTCTTTTTACTCTTTGGGTTTTTATCAGAGTGACACAGACAACATGATAATCAGATAAAGTATTGTTGTACCCATTCACTTTTTGCACTTCCACCGTAACATGTGCACACAAGTTGGAAAATTCACATGCACACTTGGCTCCAAATGCACCTATTTAACTTTGTACATATGCAAATCCCTGACATTTGAAAAACGTAGCCCATGCATATGCATATGCATATTTTCTATCTGAAAAAACAGCCTGTATTACAAAACATTTGCTGTGACTGCAGAAACTGTCTCTCTCCAGAATAGCAAAGTACAGCAATTAACAACATATAAAATAAAACTTTACATTATATACAATATAAAGGTTTACATACAAACAAAAAGTGAAAGAAAAAAGAAGAAAAGGAAAGGAAGAGAGAAGACCTGTACGAAGTGTGAGGAAAGGGAACACTAAAAAAGTAGTACTAAAGATTTAATTTATTCCCTGTATGCAATATTTTTAAAATAGGTCTGATTTGTTTTCATAACTAAAGGAGGTATTGTTGCAGCAAGAAGAAAAAGAATAAGCCCAAACCAAAAACATTCAAAATTTCCTTCTCAACTCTCTCCACCTTAACACTACTTTTCTGTTTACCTACTATTAATTAATTTAGTAGGTGTCACTGAAATGAACAAATGGTAGTAGAAGTGGGAAAGATACTTCCAAAAGTAAATGTAGCCAGGAAGAAAGCCTTGTCTTAAGGGTATCCTCATCAGGTGACAGTCTGATCTCCATGTAACCTGAGGCGTATGCTTATTTACCAAGAATTACATCACGGTTAGTTATTTAATTACATTACACTAAATAAGGACACCCAAACAGGGTAGGAGATGATGATAATATTACCTTTGTAAAATGAGTGGGCAAAGCTCTGCTCAGGAATTAACTTGGCAAGGAATCCATGGTTCAAACTTGGGTGAGGGATAGATGGTATGACCACAACTGTGGAGAAAATCATGGAATCAAATGTGAGCCAGCTAATAACCGCCTGTGATCTGGTCCACTGTGGATCCATGACAGAAGTCCTATCTCATTGAAACATGCAAATATGGCACTATTAACAAAAATGCATTTCTGAAGAAAGGAAACAAGTTATGTATCAAGAGATAGGAAACATCAGACCAATTAGTAGAGAATCATAAGAACAACATTTATAGGGAAAAAGACACATATATAAGACAAACATGGCTGAAATAGTTAATTGAAACAAGCAGTTTCCTACTCCAGCACCACAACGTATGACCAGGAAGGACACATTAAATACAACATAAAATTATGGTTTCTCATAGCTGACCACTTAAATATAAGTTTATTAAATGAAAACAGCCAATGAGGACATGGATTTTTTTTAAACTTATCGTACAAAGGTAGAAAGTAAGCAAGCTAAGATATAACAATGAATTAGATAAAATGAATAAAAGTAGGGCTGTCAATTAATTGCAGTTAACTCAAGTTTTAATGCAAAACAAATTAACTAGATTAAAAAAAGCTGTGATTAATTGCAGTTTTAATTGCACTGTTAAAACATAATAGAATACAAATTTAAATGTATTATAAATATTTTGGAAGTTTTTCTAGGTTTTCAAATATATTGATTTCAATCACACCACAGAATATAAAGTGTACAGTGCTCACTTTATATAATTTTTGTATTACAAATATTTGCACTGTAAACAAAAAATAGTGCAATCTACAAGTCAACGCATGGAGTGACATATGAATGTTTAACATATCTGGCACTTAAATAACTTGCAATGACTGCTAAAGCAGTGCCATGCAAACACCTGTTCTCCCTTTCAGATGACACTGTAAAAAAGCAGTCCCGAAAATGTAAACAAACATGTTTGTATTAGCAATTGGCTGAACAAAAAGTAGGACTCAGTGGACTTGTAAAACTTTAGAGACTACATTGTTTTGTTTTTGAGTGCGGTTATGAACAAATAATTCTACATTTGTAAGTTGCACTATCATGATAAAGAGATTGCACTACAGTACTTGTATGATGTAAATTGAAAATAATATTTCTTCTGCTTATCTTTTTTACAGTGAAAATATTTGTAATAAAATAATATAAAGTGAACAGTATACACTTTGTATTCTGTATTGTAATTGAACTCAATATATCTGAAAATGTAGAAAAATATCAAAAATATTTACAATACATTTAAATTGGTTTTCTATTATTGTTTAATAGTGTGGTTAAAACTGATTAATGACAACTATTTTTTAATCTCACGATTAATTGCAATTTTTTAATCATTTGACAGCCCTAAATAAAAGCAAATAGGACATGAATTTCAATTACACTATACGTGATATGAAAATCAGCAGTTCCAAAAACTAAAACAGCAAATCAAATTCAGTACAAGAAGCAACATATTCATGAAAAACAACATGCAGAGATTTGGCCACTGATTTCTAATCACTTTTCCAATATATTTATATGGCTGTTCTGAGAGAGAAAGCAGAGCACCGTCATAAACCAATCCATTTCAGTGGCTTAAATAAGCCATTGGACTGGCAAACTGAACATTACAAACAGTGGAGGAACGCATTTGGATTCAAAGCTCTTGGCAGGTTCTGCAGCTGACAGATAGTGCCCCCAAAGGCTGAGATACCAGTTCCCAGGGAAAAAAATAAGAATTCACACTAATCAGGTAAAGAATGCAATAAAGGCAACAATTCTAGTATATGAGACTTCCATGGGCTTTTCAATGCAGACCCAAACTAGAAAGGCAGCAGGACTCAAGACAGTTAATAGTCCTTGCTATATTAGCTTTTCACAAGACTAAGTTTAAACAGAAGTAACTTCAACTAGGGAGCTAGCTGTGTTTGCTGATTACAAACTTCAGACAGTGCATTTAGAGTCAGAGAGCTGCTCACAGTAGACAAATGACAATTTTTAGGTTTACTTTGACAGGTTAATATCTTGTCCTTTCACAACTTTAAATTCACAAGGGCTCTCCTTCTTTGAATGTACATATAAATTAAAAAATGGATGCATAAATACAGAATAAGCAAATGAAAGTAAGTTAAACCCTATAAGCAGAAGCTCATAATTTAAATCTAACTTATTAACAACCAACATATATTAAAGAAGCTTGGAGAAACTAAAGAACAACAAAATAGTCTCATTAGCCTTCACACCTTTCATACAATTTAAAAGTTTTTGTAGTCAAATATTTACTGTTTCAAGGAAATTCTAAAAACAAAAATGAAAAATAAGTGGGAAAAATAGATGTACCTGTACTTGTTGGTGAATTTATTTCCTGTCTGATATTTCTACCTGCCTGGCTCCCACATCTTGCAGTCTCCCGTTGAGGTTCTAGTATATCACGGTACTTGGAGACCATCAGCACAGAAATAAAGTAAACTACTGCCAAAGCCAAAAATTGAGCCTGTTTGCTATCATCCTGAGTGAGAGAAAAAGGAACACATCATCATACTTGACACCTGCACAGAACTTTTAAATCAAGATAATCAATATGTTTTAGAAACATCAACCTTTTTAGGTGTTATACCTGCTTACAATTCAATTCTTGAATTACCTATATGCTAATTGGAATGTTAAAGTCAGTGGTTATAACCTATTTAGGAAGGATAGTGTGGGCAAGCGGGTAGGGGGAATAGCCTTCTGTGTCAAAAATAGCATTATCTGTTTCTGATGCACTCAGAACAAAATTAGCGTGAATGCTTATGGATCAATGTCCTAACAGACAGACATCAAATAATACCCCATCCTGTGCTTTGCTATAGACCACCAAATCACACTAGGGAACAGGGTGACCGTCGTTTTACCTACCAATCTATAACATATAGGAAAAAACTGTTAATCATAGGGGACTTCAATTTGTGTGCCATATGCTGGCAGTCTCACGTGCCAGTACTAGAGCATCCTTAGAATTTGTAAAAAATTATAGGTTACAATTTCCTAACTCAAAAAGTGTTGCAGCCAACACAGGGGAATCCTTTATTAGACTTCTCCTAACAGGTAAATAGTAACTCATCACAGAACTAAAAATTAAAGTTAGCTTAGGTACAAGTGATCATGACTTGATCACATTACAATGTGAAAGAAGACTCAAGTCCAGATAAGTAATATGTATACACTTGGTGTGTTAAAGCCAGTTTCACAAAGCTGAAAACAATTATGAGCCAAAATTAGCTAGGAGTGTTTCTCCATTACTGATAATTTTTAAATCAAGATTAAATATTTTCTAAAAGATATACTCTAGCAATTAATCTTGGAGTTCTATGGCCTGTGATATACAGGAGGTCAGACTAGATGATCACAACTGTCCCTTCTGGCTTTGGAAATCTATGAATTGATGAACGGGTAAGCCTGTACACAGAAAGATTAGGTGACTTGCCTAAGATCTCAGAACAAACAAGTGGCAAAGTCAGCAATAGAACGGAAGAATCAGAATTCTATTCACTTGCTCTTACTTCCAGACCACACTATAAATTTGTAGCATAAAATGAGTGAAGATAATATTATATTTCTGTGCCATTTACGGATGCAGCAACTATTCTGAGAAGTCTACATCAGCATTTGTGGTTCAGCATGCATTCCCCTAGAATACTGCCAGAAGGGATACTAAAGTCATTTAGCATAGATGGGTTATATAAAGCTACTCAGCACCATAACAGAACTGGATCTTATATGATTATAAATGTTGCATCAATAAGGAGGTGCAACATTTCACCCCAGAGGTTGCTGCATTTCAGAGATTGTTGAAGTTTTCCTTGCATGTAGTTTGCATATCCGTTTCAGCTTGTAAAGTGCAATGAAATTAAGTAAGGCATCTTTCTTACCAAATAAGATCACTTTTATTAAATGCTTCATTTTGTAAGAAAAAGGAGAAAGATAGATTATGTAGAATTTGGCAATTTCTTCCCCCAAAAAATGGAAATCTGAAGACTTTTTTGGAGGTGAACACAGATTTTAAGTCCATCCAGCTTCCAAAGCTGTCCTTTTTTTTAAAAATGCAAGTTATTTGTAACATCAATCTTTCTTTTAAATATTAGTGAATATATTGCAAAAAGAAAAATCATGGTCCATATTACTCACCACATCACGAAAAACAACTGCTCGCAGACGATTAATGTCAACATCCTGAAGAAGTCTATCAGGATCCTTTATTGGGGAAAGGTTACCAGGAACATTTTCCAATGGTGTCTAAAAATGTAAAATTATTTTTCCAAACTGTATGGAGATTTTTATTCAAAACATTTCTTTGATCCACAATAAATAAATTAAATACATTAGTACTAACCTGCAGACAAAAAAGGCAATATTCAGATATTGGTTCTACAAACAGTGATGCTTTACTTATTTTAATGCATTAGTACTGAATAGTCAGATACAGAATTGTTTATATTCTTCAAAATCAATGTTTTAATCCTACTGGACAAATGCACCACTCTTTAGTAGTTAGCATATTAACTGTACCAAGAGGAGACTAATTGGTACTATTAATAAGAAATATTTCCTATGCACATGATAGGCTAAAAATGTGTTTGTATAAGTGAAAATAACTTAGAAAATTCAGCCTCATTCTATTTTATACAGAGATTTATTATTACAGTCCCATGCAGGTCATGCATGTTCAGTATTCTACTTACAGTAATGTGACCTGTTTTCTTTAAACAATAAACACTGCAATCCAAATAACAATTAACATATAAAAGTGTTCTGTTTTCTACTGTCCAGTGTTTGTCTTGTGTTGAGTTTGGCAAAATTGCTAGAATGGATTTTTGGTATGGTTTTATAAAATAATCTAGTGATATTTGTGGATATAAGTCTTATCTGAAGCAGTATTTTGTGGCAAGAGTCTATATTGTGAAAGTAGTAATGAGATTATCATAAGTGAATTTGGGCTGGATATACCAAAGCATCATCTTTGAGACCAGGGATGGTTTTTGTGTCTCTGTACATTTAGTTTAGGGCCCTTCAACCCCCAAAACTGTGACCAAATTGGAAAATATTCAGAAATGAGCAACTTAAATAATGACACCAAAGTGACTGAAATGTAAGTGACAAACAAATTTAGACCTCATTCTTAGAGTCATATCCACAAAGACAGACCATGATTTACACACAGAGCCCTACTGAAGTTAATGGGATTCTACAAGGATGCAAGAGTCCACCCACAAAGATCTGATTGCAGGCTTTGGCCATGCATCTCATGAGGCTTTAGAAATCAAAGAAATATGTATAGATAGGTCAAATTGCAATAGGGTGGGGGAGAAGATGTGCTCTCTGGAGCAGAAGTAGGAGAGAGAGTGTAAAGTATTGGAGAACAGTTCTAATCATGCCATTAAATTAACTATTTTCTTCCTTTTATTTTTTTTCTTGTTTCAATGAAAAAGCAAATGTTTTCTTTTGAGAGACAGGAAATGGGTGACAATTCAGCTGCTGTTTTAAAAGAAATCTAGAAATTAACTACAATCATCTCCTGCTTATTTTAAGCACTGGTACAACCTATATTAACAACATTAGATTACCTTGGTCATTGCTGTTGCAGTCATACCCTGAAGAGTCTCCTGAGTTTTACTGCTGATTAGTGAAGATTTGTTCACCCTATCTCTCTGTCTTTGTCGACATTCTAAACAGTTTCTCACAGCAACACAACAAACTAAAAAAAGATGTAATTGAACATTATCATTAGGTGATTACACGGTTACCATTTAACGAAGTGCCTATACCTCCAAAGAATGATTATGTCCCAGTAGCAATTGTATAAATAAGCAGGCATCACAAATCTCTTAAATTATACTCTGGTGATACTGAGAAAATATTATGGTGACTTTTCCAATTTCATTCTGTTTTTAGTTAATCAGGTTCCTTAATTTTATGACTATCTGTCTTAAACAAGGCTCATATTTAAGGCTACAAGAAGTTTGAAAAAGGCAAATTATTCCTTGTAACTGGAGTTCTTAGATTATGATCATGTTGTCCCTGTTGATCCACTATTTTTGGAAGCATACTCCTTAGTGTTGCCAAAGCCAACCTTAACATTTTTTGTGGCTAGAAGACAGAAAACAAAAGGAAGGAATCAATGGTTACTTTCCGTCACGTCAGAGATTAGCAGCAGACTGCCATAAGGTTCCACATGAGGACTGACAATAGTAATTATCAGTGATCTGAAAAGGTGGGAGAACAGTGTTGTGGCAAAATTTGCAGCTGACAAAAATTATTCAGCTCAGTCAAGAACTGAGAAGACTATGAGGAATTTAAGAGAGACCTAGACAAACTAGATAAACAACATGCAATATGATGGGCAGATGGAATTCAACATTGACACTTAGAATAATTTGAACTACGCTTGCTGCTTCTAAGGTCCTACATTAATTGTAACAATTTATCAAAAAGTGTTGGGCATCACCGTGGACAGCTCAGTGACTTTCTGCTCAATGCACAGCAGCAGACAAAAAAAAATCCTCCCGAAAACCAAACAATAATGATATAAATATAGAATGCATAAGGAATAGCATGGAGAACACCACAGAAAATATTATAATACTCTTATATAAATCAATGGTACAACCTCACCTGGAATAGTGCGCTCAGTCTTGGTCACCACATCTCAAAAATGATATAAAGGGGTGACAGGTGACAAGAATAATTAGCAGAATGAGAAGACTCTTACTTGAACAAAGATTGAAAAGATTGGGACTCTTACTATAAAGTGATCCAATTTTCCATTTAAAAATGGGACGTGGGAGCCAGAAGGTAGAGGACACCCTTTTTTGGTCTTCCCACTTCTCCATCAACTTCCTTTATCCCTCCACCAAAACATTTCCTTGTAATATCCCCAAAGAAGTGTCTCATTTTTTCCACTTTGACCGTATGACTTAACTGTAGGATATTGGGGGTAGGGGGACAGGAGACTGCTACCTGCAGCTGCAATACTTATTTTGGGAACTAGTTGTCACTGAGGTCAGGTGCACTTATTCTCACAGATCATACTGTTTGGTGTAATAGCTTATAATAGACCTTAGCCAAACTCAATATCTTCCAATTCAAAATATAGTCTAAGGAATCTGAAAGAAATGGGGGAGAAGTGTGGGCAGGTTTGGTTCTGAACTAGCAGTGAGAACTCTGAATAAACCTTGTCAAGAATTCCCTTTTAGGGATCCCTACACTTAAGAAAATGATTAGAAGTAATAAAGCACTAGAGGACAGTTGAGAAATAGTTAATTAAAGACTGGGGAATTGCTCTTCTGAAATGAACTGTCTTAAAGCAGGGTTCTTTGTTCCATTGAGGTTCTACAGCTCACCCCACGCCACTGAGTCTGGATCCTTCAAGGTCGCTTTCATTAAAAATTTTTTTTCACGGTCAATATCTAACAGGTTGTGGAAAAAATTTATTTAGTGTTGTTTATAGACAGCATGAAAATAACAAAACAGAATTTGCCATCGTATTGCATGTTGTTCATGTAGTTTGGTTAGGTCCCTCTTAAATTCCTCATAGTCTTCTCAGTTCTTGACTGAGCTGAATAATTTTTGTCAGCAACAAATAATGCTGCAATTCATTTGAAAAGACAACATTTCCAAGACCTGCTGCCAATGGGCAATGGGAAAGATAATGAGGACACATGGGTTCACAGTTCTTCATACCTTTTCAAAGAATGTTTTCATTTACAAAACTGTGTACACATAGCCCAAACTATCACTGTTTGCTAGATGCTTTACAGGCACATGGCTGAGGTGTATTCTCCCAAAAGAGGGGATCTGCAGAGGCAATTCTCAGAGAACCAAAGACCATGATGAAAAATCTTACAACAGAAGAGCAGCACAGCAGATCAGTGTTTGAGGGAAACAGTAATTTTCTTCCTTTCATTAGTTTTCTTGTATTAATATTTTACTGTCCTACAACATGCTTTACAATTTGAATTTCATCAATGACAACTTTAAATCTGGACATGTGATTGATTCTCATCTATTTTTGTGTTTCAATAGAACCATCATAACTATTTTAACAAGTCAGTAAAAACTCTGTGGTATTTTAGTCTACCACATCATAGTCAGAATCAGGTTCATTCCTACTTTTATTCATTGTAGCCTTAGCTCATTGATCTGTAAGTAATTATTTAATGCACACTGTCTGTGTTGTTCTATACAGACTTACCCAGCCTTAGGCACTGTCGCATTAAGCCTCCAGAAGACATGTTTTTTTCAGCTTCAATCTCACTGAAGTTTAGAGAACTGGCAAATACCAGTACATCAACCATAGCCATCAGACGGCTCAGGAAAGTCACTGCTGTCTCTGCTGACATTCCTTGTGTCACTTCAATATTTTCCAATTCAGTCTTTAAAAGAAAATAATTACATTAGACTTAACAGTTTCAAAGAACAAATATAGCACACCCACATCTCAATTTTAATTGTTAACAATAAATAAGTAAATGAGAAAAATTACAAAAAAACTATTTCCTATATTTAGGGTTGGCAGAATTCGGGGGTTTTTTTTTTATAATTTTGGTGTTTTATTATTTTATATTTTAAGATATTTTTCAATTTTTTTCTATTTTTATTTTTATAGTTGCTGGAAATTAAAGGGGCGTGGGGTTGGCTTAGGGTAGCACTGGCTGCAAGGGGCTCCCTGTGTAGATGAGGGATTCAAGGCACCATTGCCCATGGTTTAGGGGAGGCTGTGGTCCTGGCTTGGTGAAACAGATACTCCTAGCCAGGGTTGCAAGGAGGATGATCCCCTGGCTATGGGATGCTGCTGCTGAACAGTTCCTGCCCAGGAATGACTGTTACATTCCTGGCTGGTGAGTGAGTGAGCAGGACCATGACAGTGGAGCTGAAAAGGGCTCCCTGAACAGCCGTGGGGCTGGTGACACCCAATCCTGGCAGACACAAGGTACAGGGAAGTCTGTGGTTCTGATGGAGCAGGGCAGAACAGAGATCCTCAGCCAGGGCCGCGAGAAGTTGTCATTGTCCGTAGCCACGGGTGAGGCCACCCTGCTGCTGAATGGCTCCTGCCTGGAGCAGGGTGGCCTCCTCCTTGCAATCTTGGCTGGGGGTGTCTACTCTGGCCAGGGCTTCAGCCTTCTCCGCACCTTGCACCTGAAGGGATCCAGCATCACTGGCTCAGTGGCAGCACAGAGACCTCTCTGCAGCCCCGCTGTCATGGCCCCACTCCTGTGACAGCAGTTGATACCTGATCCTTACAAGCACAGGGGGAGGGAAAGGCTGCACTCCCGCTGACTTTCACCAATCACTCTATTTTTCACTGGTTTCAGTATGTCAGTTGAAACCAACATTTATCAAAATCTATTGATTAAAATTGAATCCTGCCAAGCCTATCTATGTTTTTTGTTAATGCAAATTACTTATGAGTGAACTTAAAAATAATGGAGTGAGAAGATGAATTCACACTTGCATGCTGTAATAGGTATTATGAAGTCTAATATCTGTGAGAAAATTACTACTATTTACATAGAACCAAATTGTGGCCCAGCTACCACAGCTGTACAAAGCATAAGGGAGTGCATGACACCCCTGTATGTCTCTGAGCAATCTAACTGCATGACAGCACAGGAAGGAAAATGGGCTCTGCAAAGCTGCTATGTCTCCACCTGCCCCTACTCACACAGATGGGTGGGAGAAATGGAATGGGGTGGGAACTGAGCAGAGTCTTTGCGTGTCACTAACGTGTAGTTGGAGCCGAGGAATGTATGCTGTATTGGGCATAAACCTAGCACAGTTTACTCCATCCCTGGATCAGTTTACTCCATCCCTGTTGCTCCAGTGAGGGAGGAAATCATGCCAGGTTTGTACCTGGTGCAGCATACATTCCACGTGGAATCACAATCTACATCTTGGGCTGTTCCCTTAGTCTAGGCTCATGGCAAAGCCACTCCTGAGTCTGCAATTGTTTCATAAATGTAAAAAAGAATTATGATTTAGGGTAACATTTTCAAAAGTGCCTAAGTGACTGGAGCCTGAGCCTCATTTTCAAAAGTGAGTTAAGCTCTTAGGGACAGATTTTTAAATTCAGTTAGGTGTCTAAATATGCAGATGGGTGTCTAGTGGGATTTGCAAAAGTGCCTAGGAGGCCAACTCCCATTAAAATCTCTGAGGCCTGGTCTACACTAGGCTTTTATGTCGACTTTAGCGCCGTTATATCGAATTAACCCTGCACCCGTCCACACCAGGAAGCCATTTAGTTCGACAGAAAGCTCTCTTTAAATCGATTTCTGTAATCCTCCCCAACGAGAGGAGTAGCGCTAAATTCGACATGGCCATATCGAATTAGGCTAGGTGTGGATGGAAATCGACGGTAATAGCTCCGGGAGCTATCCCACAGTGCACCACTCTGTTGACGCTCTGGACAGCAGTCCGAGCTCGGATGCTCTGACCAGCCACACCCCCGGGAAAATTTGAATTCATTTTCATTTTCCTGTCAGGGCAGTTTGAATCTCAGTTCCTCTTTGGACATCGAGGGGAGCTCAGCAGCAGTGGCAACTATGCAGAGCTCTCCAGCAGAGATGGCCGTGCAATCCAATAGAAAGAGGGCCCCAGCATGGACTGATCGGGAAGTCTTGGATCTCATCGCAGTGTGGGGCGATGAGTCCGTGCTTTCAGAGCTGCGCTCCAAAAGAAGGAATGCTAAGATCTACGAGAAGATCTCCAAAGCCATGGCAGAGAGAGGCTACAGCCGGGATGCAACGCAGTGCCGCGTGAAAATCAAGGAGCTGAGACAAGGCTACCAAAAAACCAAAGAGGCTAACGGACGCTCCGGATCCCAGCCCCACACATCCCGTTTCTACGAGGCACTGCATTCCATCCTGGGAGCGGCCGCCACCACTACCCCACCCCTGACCGTGGACTCCGAGGATGGGATCATGTCGGACATGACAGCGGACGGGGAAGATGAAGAAGGAGATGAGGAGGACGAGGCAGTCGACAGCGCTGGCACCGCTGATTTCCCCGACAGCCAGGAGCTCTTCATCACCCTTACCGAGATCCCCTACCAACCGTCCCCATCCCTTACCCCGGACACAGAATCAGGGGACGGATCAAGCAGTAAGTGCTGTAAACATGTAAACATTTATTTAAAACAGAACGGTAATATTTATACTATTAACAATGTATATTTATAAAAGTGCTGTAAACTAGTAAAAAAATAATCAGGTACAAAACAGGAATATTTACAAAGGTAACAAATGGGTTTTGCATGATTTCTCTGTCTTAGGCTCTTCTCAATTTAGTCCCAAGTATTTTAAAAAAATTTCACAATGTCCGTTACTACATGATTCCCAGGCCCAAGACGCTCCACTCCAAAGTCTCAGTGCACCTACGCGAAAATCCGGTCAATGTGGCCGGGGATCGACGAGAAATCCTCGTAGGAGAACTCCTCGTAGGTCTCGTGGAGGTAGAGCTCAAGCCTGTTGATCAGGTTCCGGGGTAGGGCGATCTTAGTGGGCCCTCCGTGGTAGCAGACATGTCCCCTCCATGCCACAATCAGGTACTCGGGGATCATGGCCCGACATAGCATGGCGGCATACGGCCCCGGTTTTTGCATGCTTTCCCGCAGCATGCGTTCTCTCTGGGTGTCCGGGATCCTCAGGAGGGTGATGTCGCTCATGACGCCCTGCTTTGAATTAGGGAGGGGACTGTTAGTATTGGGACTTTTACAGCCACGCGGTGGAGGGAGAGGGGCAGCATACAGGGATCTTTCCCTGGGACAGCCGCGAGGGGGTGGGACAGGGGCAGAGTTGATGCTGTCCTGATTGCTGGCAGCAGAGACTGGCATTGCTTTCAATGTGAAAGGAGGCCAGTGCTACTGCTGGAGTTTTAAGCAGCCACAAGTCTGCGGCTTACCATTATTGCCCGCTCCAGAAGTTCAGGTCTCCAGCCACAGTTCTCTGAACACTCCAAGACCTCCGCAAGTCCACAGGCACTGAAGGCGACGGCCGAAAATTCGACCTTGTCCTGAGTGCGCATGTGAGAGGTTCAGTGCATGGTCTTGTTCACAGAGAAAGACTAGGTTCTTTGTATACAATTTCATTTATCTGTCTCAGGAATTCACTCCCTTTTTAAAATTCACACAGACACATCTGCGACTGTCTCCCAACCCAGCCTGTCAGCACACTCCCAGAGGCTAGCGCAGATTAGGCGGAGGAAGAAGAAGACGCGTGAAGACATGTTCACAGAACTAATGGGCTGCTCCCGAGCCCAGGCAGCCCAGCAGACACAGTGGAGGGAGAACTTGTCACAAATGCACCGAGCAGTCATGGAACGGGAGGAGAGGTGGCGTCAGGAGGACCAACAGGCTACTGAAAAGCTGCTTGGACTAATGAGGGAGCAAACGGACACGCTCCGGCGCCTTGTGGATGTTCTGCAAGACCGGAGGCAGGAGGACAGAGCCCCGCTGCAGTCTATCTGTAACCGCCCTCACCCGCCACCAAGTCCCACACCACCCTCACCCAAAGTCCAAAGAAGGAGGGGCGGCAAGGGCCGTTAAAACTTTCAATCAACCCCTGCAGACTGCTCTAGCAGTAGAAGGCTGACATTCCCCAAAATTTCATAAGTCCTTTCCTACCCACCTCACACAAGCCCCCGTCCAAGTTTCACCCCCCACGTTTCATGTCTGGTTCGCAATAAAATGTTTGTTTCTGTTCATTACTGTTTCAGTCAGGTTCTTTTGAGGGAGAGTCTGTCTGGAGGGGGGGAAGGGGCTTGGTAATTGGACAGGACAGTCACCTTTAGCAGGGTACAGAGGCGGTGTCAGGTCCAGCATCAGGACACATACACAGTGCAGTCACTGGTTACCCTGGTCAGTCTGGGAGGTGCTTTTCATGTTTTGGGGGGGGGGGGTTGCTCTGTGACTTTGTGGCGGGGGAGGGCAGTTACAGATCTTATGCAGCGGTCCTTATCCTGGCTCACAGATCCACGCAGCAGGGGATCTGTAACCCTACCCCCCCTGCCAGAAAGTCACATAGCCGACACATACACACAGTCCCCCCCAGGAGTGCTGGCAGGCTCCATTGAAATAACCAGTCCACCAGTGCGGAGCCTGTCATTCCGGGAGTTTAGAAGTATCATTTGCATCAGAACACTAAACCCGCCCCCCGCCACAGTCTGCGTCCCCGGTTTAAAATATTCCCGCGAAAACAGCAATACAGACAACGGTGTTCATTAAAAAATCGAAATGATTTTATTTTTTGGGAAGGGGAAGGGGGTGAAGGTTGTATGTAACTGGAGAGGATAGTCAAAATGGACTGGGTAAAGAAACGGGGGCAGGTTCAGCTTTTCTGTCCACAAACTGAAAAGTCACTGGTTGCCCTGCTCACTCAGGAACCTAGCTTTCAAAGCCTCCCGGATGCACAGGGCGTCCCGCTGGGATCTTCTAATGGCCCGGCTGTCTGGCTGGACGTAATCAGCAGCCAGGCTATTTGCCTCTAGCTCCCACCCCGCCATAAAGGTCTCCCCCTTGCTCTCACACAGATTGTGGAGCACACAGCAAGCTGCAATAACGATGGGGATATTGGTTTCACTGAGATCACAGCGAGTGAGTAAGCTTCTCCATCTCCCTTTGAGACGGCCAAAAGCACACTCCACCACCATTCTGCACTTGCTCAGACGGTAGTTGAACAGTTCTTTTTCTGTGTCCAGGGCGCCAGTATAGGGCTTCATGAGCCAGGGCATTAGCGGGTAGGCTGGGTCCCCGAGGATGACTGTAGGCATCTCCACATCCCCAAGAGTTATTTTGTGGTCTGGGAAGTAAATACCTTCCTGCAGCCGTCTAAACAGACCAGAGTTCCTGAACACGCGAGCGTCATGAACCTTGCCCGGCCATCCGACGTAGATGTTTGTAAACCGTCCCCGATGGTCCACCAGTGCTTGCAGCACCATTGAAAAGTAGCCCTTTCTATTGATGTACTGGCTGGCCTGGTGGTCCGGTCCCAGGATAGGGATGTGAGTCCCATCTATAGCCCCACCGCAGTTTGGGAATCCCATCGCGGCAAAGCCATCTATGATGACCTGCGCGTTTCCCAGGGTCACTACCTTTGGGAGCAGTACCTTGACGATTGCCTTGGCTACTTGCATGACAACAACCCCCACGGTAGATTTGCCCACACCAAAGTGGTTCGCGACTGACCGGTAGCTGTCCGGCGTTGCAAGCTTCCAGAGGGCTATGGCCACTCGCTTCTGGACAGTGAGGGCTGCTCGCATGCGGGTGTCCTTGCGCTTCAGGGCAGGGGACAGCAACTCACAAAGTTCGAGGAAAGTCCCCTTCCGCATGCGAAAGTTTCGCAGCCACTGGGATTCATCCCAGACCTGAAGCACTATACGGTCCCACCAGTCCGTGCTTGTTTCCCGGGCCCAGAATCGCCGTTCAACAAAATCCACATGCCCCATTGCCACCGTGATGTCCTGGGCGCTGGGGCTCGTGGTTTCTGACAGCTCTGTGCCACTCTCCGACTTCAGGCTCTCACGGCGGTGCCGTAGCCTCCTCGCCCGATTTCTCTGCATCTGCCTCAGGGAAAGGTGTATGATAAGCTGCGAGGTGTTGAGAACGGCCACAAGTGCAGCGATGGTCGCAGCGTGATCCATGATCGCAGTGCTGTGGCGTCCGCGCTGTCACTGACCAGAAAAGTGCGCGAACTGATTTCCCGCCGGCGCTTTCATGGAGGGAGGGAGGGCGTTAGTGACGGACGGATGACGACAAATTTTTTTTACCCAGAAGGCATTGGCGGCTCGACCCAGAATTCCGATGGGCAGCGGGGACTGCGGGAACTGTGGGATAGCTGCCCACAGTGCACCGCTTCCAATATCGACGCTCGCCCCGTTAGTGTGGACTCACAAAGTCGAATTACTGTCCTTAGTGTGTCCTTAGTGTGGACACACACGTTCGACTTTGCAATATCGATTCCACATATTCGATTTAAGTAAAATCGAATTACCCTCGTAGTGTAGACATACCCTGAGAATTTGGTGCCTAGTTGCTTTTGAAAATCCCATGAGGTGCCTATCTGCATCTTCAGGCACCTAAATACCTTGACTTTAGGAACCTAAGTCTCTCTGATAATCAATGGGACTTAAGTTCCTAGGTCTTTTTTTGAAAATGGGACTCAGGTGCTTGTGAAAATTTTAGCCTTTTGGTTCCAGTTTCAGGGATTCTGTAAGACAAATAAGGAGCTTAAAATATATTATTTTGTCCTGTCATAAACATTTCTTTCCGTAACAAGAGTAGAGAAAATTCTTTTAAAACCCTTTATTTCCCTATTGCTGAGAATTTAATGTCCTCGGTGAACAGTAACTTGTTGAAATAGTTGTTTAGGTTTAACAACATACCAACAGTGCCGATAATGCCAAACAATATTAAGAAAACAATTGTTCTGACACGTGAAAGGTATAATGTGTCTTTCTGTCATCAGAATGATAGATAACATTGCAAGACATGTCAGTTACATGGGTATTCTGGGAAGGGTTGTCACTATTTAAAATCTGTCCAGCAAGACAAAACAAATGATATGATGACAATTAGACCTTTGAAACACCATTTCCCTTTGAAGGACTGCCACTAGCATTCCTCTAGGCAGTTATTCCCTGTTATTTTATGTTATTTTTCTACCGTGACCCCCTTGTCATAGTAGAAGAAACATTATTAATTCACATAGAAAAGTAGCAAATTGTTTATATATAAAACACTTACACAAATGAAATTTAAACTAAAGAAGCCATATCTGAATAGCAAGAAGCCATGCCAGGGTGTGCATTAGTAGGCTGCTGGTGCAATTCTCAGGTGGTTATAGAAACATGGCCCTTGGACTCACCTCAATAATCACCAGAAATATGCACCAATAGTCTATTAGTGGACTCCCTGTTTTGGATTATTGCTATAATACAATTAATTATATTGTACTATATACATTTTCTTAAGGGAGTAGATCTTTTACTTCCCAATGTGAAATGTCCAGGTTTATTTTCACATGAAATAGTAAATCCATGTAAAAGCATGTTTTATAGTATAGTTTTTACATGATTTTTGCTAGCATTACATAGAAGAAAAAAATAGGATTTTCTTTAGGAAATCTCCCTAAATGCTGCCAATTCACTATAAAGACTATAAATAGCCTTCTATTAGGTCTAATTACTATAATGAAATCCACCTCTTAAAGGTAACACGCTAGTATGTATTCTAACTACATTTCAGAGACGTTTTCTTGTTTAGCAAACTGTTTTCAGAAGCTAGAATGTTTTAGAATGGTATGGTAAACTCATGCTTACTATGTAAATTTTAAAAGGAATAACTAAATTCCCAGATGGTTATATGGGTCCAGAGTTTGAACTAAATCAGATTTTCACAGCAGACGGACACTTCTGCAATTTATATTAGATCATAGGCTTGTCTAACTTTGACTTGGTAGTTTACAATAAGCAGCATATAATCATTAGCCAATGCATTAGATTACACTAAGAAACATTTCAGGAAAAGTCCATAAATGCACCTAATTTACTCCTGACCATATCCTATAATATGGCGTGAATAATTAAAAAAAAGCCAAAATGTCAAATTATCAAAAATAATAAAGTTTGAAAAACTTAAAAACTGAAACTTACAGCAGTAATACTAACCTTAGAACCCTGGACATGCAATAGACAAAACAGACAACAGATTACAACAATAAAAGAAAAAGAAAATTATTAAAGGTAACTGAAAATACAATGTAAAATTGAAACAAAGTAATATCTTGGAATCATACCTTTATCTGATTAATTTATCATAGGCACTAACATTGCATCTTGGAAAGTGAATATTTGAAAACAAAGACTTCAAAAATAACTAAACTGCAAACAGTATGGACGTTAAATCTAATCTTTTAATTTTATTATACAGTTCCTTTCCACATTGATCCATCCAAACTGAAATACATATTTTTAAATATGTACATGGAGAAAACGTATAGTATGTTAGTAATGTATACCCACAGTAGAATTTTACTTGTTATATAAATCACAGAAGTACATGACATAATTGTGCCATTCTCCAGTCAATTGAAACTGAAAAAAGTAAATCCAGCCTTAGTATTTATGATTTGTGAGATAAATCATATGTACAAAATTAATTGACAAAACATACATATAAATCACAAGAAAAAAATGCTTGATTCTTTAGCCGTAATGCTCTTTGGACTGCAGCACCACAACATACCTTGTGGTGTGCACAATTTTCAAACCTAATCCCAAACTGTACTAAACATTTGAATGATTTTGAGCCACCAATGGAAGTCCAAGTTTTGGATCACCTCAGGGAGTTTGAGGCTAGTCCCAATGATTAGCAGTTCTGCAAGGTTTCTTTTAGGTTTTATTTTCAGTCAGAACCCTCTCCCCACAACAGGCCTGTCATTTAGTTGTCAGGAGCCATATTTTTAAAACTGACTAATGATTTTTGGGGCCTTTAAGATTTTAAATCCCCAACCTGTTAAACCTTATAGGGTGGATGCTGAGCAAGCGGGGCATCTAAAAATTGAGGGACCCAAAAATCACAAGTCATTTTTGATAATTTAGGTCCTAACTACCTTGAAAAATGGAGGTGAAAAAATAGAAGACTACTGCACCTCCAGCACTGAAGACAATTTAAGGTAGTCAATATTAAAATGTAATATATTACTAACAGTTACCACACTAACAAATTTATTTGAGCATAAGCTTTCGTGGGCTACAGCCCACTTCATCTAGTAAAAAACTAGTTTTTAAGAATATTTTAATACTGTCATAATTTAGATAGCACATTTTTGAAACCAAAAGCATTTCAGCTATGCTACGCTAATAGTGCCATTGCAGTATCAACTCCAGCAAAATGAGAAGGAAGTTTTCTTTTCTTTTTTGGTAGAAAACTGTGTCTAACCATCCTTTCACATGTGGAAGTTCAGGTCTTGGTCTGGACTCTGAAGCTTAAATCCATCTTTGGGACCCAACCGCATTTTTTCCTTAGATTCCTCAACAGGTGAAATCCGGGTCCCATTACATCAATGTCATAACACCCACTGATTTCAATGGGACAAGGATTTGACGTTAGGTTCACTGAAGCCCTGTTTGATCCCAAAACCTTCAATTTTCTCCTTTAAGCCACATCCTTAAGTCCATGGTTATGGCTGTCATTTTATATTAACTAATGACTAGCTGGAACTGTCAGTCTGTCCACACCATGCTTTAACTGGCAACATCTGTTGCTGTTAATAAAATGCATTTTTCATAATCCTTACTCCCTTTCCTGAAAGCCCTTTGTCTTGTTTTGCATTTTCACATTTTGCCTTTTATGGTTGCCAAAATTTTGGGGCACACAGAGTGTCTTATTTGTATTTATAAAGTGTCACGTAAATTTGAGACACCAAATTTAAGTGCTAAAAAGATATATATTAATATCTCCCCGTGCAAGGTCTTTGACGGATTACCTCAATCCCTGCTAGCCCAATGAGCAGTAGACTAGGACTGGGAAATGAACTCTTTCTGGCATATCATCATAAAACAACATTATTAGATCAAAATATATGCTTACCATTTTTATTTATTTTAGTATTTTCATTTATTATTTCATATATCCTATTGGAAATTAAAAGGCGCCTATCCTTGGCTCTAGGCAATTTTTATACTAAATCACATGCAATCCCCCCAACAAACAAAAATCCCACCAGCAACTACGTTAAAAGCAAATTGTTAAAGTTACAATGTCAAGCACTCAAGTTAAGAAACACAGAATATTTTGCCTGTGATACTTTATTTCAGCCCTCTTGTATGTATGCATTATGATACAGTCTTTAATTATATGATCACCTACTATGTTTTCCACAAGTGCCCTGCCTCAATTGACTGAACAGATGGTGCTCACTTAATAAGCAGAAATTCAATATTTTGTTGTATCTTCATTTCTTCAAGGTTTATCCCTAGACCTTATTTACTCCACACTATCCAAAAATTGCTCTGAAGACAGCATTAATAATTTCCTCATGGGCTTCTCTATGGTGCTCCTCACTAGAGTGTTTCACAAACATTAATGAATTTATTTTCATAACTCAGAGATGAGGGTTATGATCATTCACATTTTACAGATAGGGAGCTGAGGCACAGAGATGTTGAGGTCCACAAGTATCTGCTAACTTTGGGTGCCCAATTTGAGACATCTAGAACCTGATTTTTCCAAATTCTTAGCATTATATAGAACTTCATATGTTCAAAGCACAGCTCCCACTGAAGTCAGTTGCAGTTGAGAGTGCTCAGCTCTTCTGCAAATCAGAACCCAGGTTCTCAAGTCAAGCACTCAGAAAACGAGGTATACACAGCACATGATCAGCTGTTAAAAGATGGGTTAAGCAACTTGCCTAGCATCACACAGAATCGAATCCTCCAGAGCAGCATTCAACTACCTTAACAAAGAGACTGTCCTTTCCATTTCTGTAACCCCCCTGCAATATTCCCAACACACCTTCCAACTTCTGCAACAAATGGAGTAGGGGTCCTACAAAAAAAGTTTCCTTCACTACACAACCCTGATTCATTCCCAGAGCAGGTCCATCCTCTGAACTGAATGAAGCAGGGATGCTGTGGAAAAAACAGTCTGTGATCACGTAATTGGAGACTATCATAACGCATATACACAAGAGGACTGAATTAAAGTAACATAGGTAACCTTAATTCTGGAATTTCCTAACTTTTGGATGCTTGACTTTGTAACCTTAATAATGACCTTTTAATATACAAAGGGTTTGTGCGTGTATAATTTCTTAGGTTTAAAAAAAAAAAAAAAAGGCAAAAAAACCCCCCATATTAACAACCATATACAAAAGGTACAGACAAGGGCAATGAAAAGAATTAAGGGCATTGAACAGCTTCCTTATGAAGGGAGATTAGAAAGACTGGGACTAATTCAGTTTGGACAAGAGGCGACTAAGGGATGTGATAAAGGTCTATAAAATCATGAATGGTGTGAAGAAAGTGAGTGTTATTTACGCCTTCACATAACACAAAAACCAGGGGTCACCCAGTGAAATTAATAGGCAACAGGTTTAAAACAAACAGAAGTCCTTCCTCTCACAGTCAACCTCTGGAACTCATTGCCAGGGGATGTTGTGAAGCCCCAAACTGTAAATGGATCAAAAAAAGAAATGGAAAAATTCATCATCAGTGTCAGTTAGCTAAGATGGCCAGGGATACAGCCTCATGCTCTGGGTGTCCTTAAGCCTCTGACTGCCAGATGCTGGGACTGGATGACAGGGTCACTGGATTATTGCCCTGTTCTGCTCATTTCCCTTGAAGCATCTGGCATTTGCCACAATTGGAAGACAGATTATTGGGCTAGACGGACCATTGGTCTGACCCAAAATGGCCATTCTTATGTTCCTCAGCAGGATAGGGACCATTCAATCCACTGCACAAACCTCTGCCACCTCAACCAATGGAATAACTGATATCAGTAGTCAGTTGCCATCTGCTATGTGGACCAGCACTAGAGGAGGATGGACACTTTGCCAGTTTTCACGGAGAATGATAGAGGAATGGTGGAGACTCAGGAATTGTGGGTCCCATTCCAAGCCCCGGAGAGGAGTGCATTCTAATGGGCACAGACTCTTCTGTCCATTTCCTATGTGACCCCTTCTGCCTCTCCCCTCCAATCTGTCCCTGTCCCAGTCCTAACCCTCCACCACCCCTCATCCCAGTCCCATTCTCCACATTTAAGGCTTTTCATCCCAGTCCCTGTCTCCTTGCCCAGCAAGTCATATTCTCCCTCCACCACCCCAATTTCCTTCTGCCCAGTCTCCTTGCCCAGGTATTTCCAGTTCCCTCCTTTCAATTCCTCATCCCATCTTTCTCTCCCACCCTGACCTCCAGTTGTGCAGCTCCCATCATCCCTGTCCTAATCTCCATCCCCAGGATCCTTGTCCAATCTCATTGTCCCCCCTCCACCATCTCCTTGCCCAGTTTCTTTGCCCAGAGAATCCCAGTTCTGCCCTCGCACCCCGGTTCTTTGTCAGATTGGTTTCCCTTCCTTTTAACATCTTCTCCCTGCCCCCACTGGTTTTCAGTCCCAGTCTCTCCCCCAATCTCCTCATCAAATTTCAGTGTACCCCAACAACCTACTGGTTCCTTCTGTTTCCCTCCCCAGCTCCCAATCCCCCTGCCCAACCAATCCCAGTTTCCTGCCTGCTCCCAGACCCAGTAGCCTTCCAGCCAGTCTCAGTCTCTATTCCAGCTCTCAGTCCCAATCTCTGAACTTTTAAAAGAAAAAGTCACTAGAGTTTTACCAAGAAAAGGTTGCAAGAATTTCTGAACATGGGCAAAACAATGTATTTTTCTCTACTTTTGTTTTCAGAATTGACTGAACCAAAAATTCAACTTGAGGCAGACATCCAGCATGGAAAATTTCACCCCAAGTCGTTAAAGTTTGGCAAAGTTATAAGCCACTGAGAACAGGGTCTTATAATGGAAAATGTCAGATGGTGTCTCCCCCTCCCTCCTGCTGCATGGCCTTGAGGGAAAACTGTAGCAAGCCAGTTAGAGAGTTCAGCAAGTAGTGGTATAAGCAGCCAAAGCAGGAACCTTTGGTTATTTGCACACTCAGAGAACTTTCTACAGTTTTGACTGGACTT